CCCTCCTTTCTTTCTTTCTTTCTTTCTTTCTTTCTTTCTTTCTTTCTTTCTTTCTTCTGTTAATGACTTATTTTTGTAAAGTCCTTACGTTAGATTTAATTATTGATATACCCTACCCAGAACCTACATATACACAAATATAGATGTCACATCGATCAGGCTAAGCTATAAAGCCTAAGAATTAAATGTCCCTGGCCCTTGGGTACTCTAAAGTGATCCCTTGTGTTTTATTTACCTGGTTAGTAAAAATGACAAAGGTTATGATCATGTCTGCTATTACCCAGGACCAAGTGAACAAGAGGTGAGAATAGCTTTACATGAAACTGAGCTTATTTAAAATCAATATTATCCATTTGATTGGATAGAATGTTTACTAAAGTACATTTCATTTTGCCATAAATGTTGTAATTGTGAAGTTCCACACTCTACTCTTATCTCTCTTACACACACACACACACACACACACACACACACACACAATGTAACAACAGCAAATCAAATGTATATGCATGGGCACACAAACATAAGCATACACAAAAACACTTTGGAGCTACTCCTTGTTTGAAGCCATCTTGAACCTTTGGATAAAATGTGTCTCTCCTACAACCAAACTCGGATAGACTGTTATGGATTTTTCTTCTCAAATACAATTTTTCTTCTGTGTTCTCTATCTCCAAATTGATAGTTTGTGATATTCATTTTTCTTTTATTATATGTAAAATTAGCATAGATGTCAAAGATATCTATATACTTACTATTTTCCACAAGGGGATATTGGGGTTATTCTCTATCTTGATGGAGTCCAACGTATAATTTTTAATGGAGTGTTTGCATTTGGCATTGCATCTAAGATATCTTTAGCTCAAATGGTTTCCTCACTGTTAGTTTAGTTTATTAGTATGGTGAACTATATTAACCATGAAGCTAGCATCCTCTTCCTGAAATCTCTTACTTGATGGTATGCTGTTCGTTTTATAGACTGTTGAATTTTATTTTGCATTTGTTTATAATGCTTGTATGTGTATATGTGTATGAAAGATATTGATCTAGATTTAATTTTTTGTGGTTTTGATTTAAGTTTCAGAGTGATGACAGTCTCATAAAATTAATCAGAGAGTAATATGTCTTTTGCCTTTTCTGATTTTTTTCATAATTTATATCCTCGATTTTTCAAACTTTTAATGGATTCATCAGTGAGGCCATCGTGGTTTTCAAGTTCACAGTCGGAATGGTTTTCCATTTTCTCTAGTCCTGGGATTAAATACAGGGTGTTGTTTATGCCAGGCAGGCACTCTGCCACTGAGACACACACATAAGCTTCATGAGCTACACATGAGCTACACATAAGATGCTGTATTGGTACAACTCTATCTCCTTATATTTATTTATTATCAAATACTTCATTTAATATTGTGCAAAACACATTGGTTGCTATACTACAATACACAAGCTAATGAGCCCCCTTACAAAGCTCATTAAACTTTGTCTAGCCTGAAAGTCTATGTTTATGCCTTTGCAACTTCCCTTCTATTTCCCCCCTCCTTATCTTAAACACCCAAACTTTAATTCAACATGTGAAAGGCCTATTAAAGAAAAGATTCTCATCAGAAACAGACAGTCTGGGTATTTTTCATTTTATTTATCTTTTGAGTCAAATGATCCAGGATGCATTTCACATCTGCCGGAAGGAAAGGAGGGCCTTTGGCAATTGTGTGTGCCTACATGTGTTTGTGTGTTATACTCAAGTGATTACACTTCTAGGCTGGACTCTGGCACCCGGAAGACTTTGTTATTAATAAAAGGTGAGTAAAATAGCCAGAAAGAACACTGGGAAGAAAAGCATTCGTAGCAAGTCGTAAAGATGATGTGGTCTCTGTGCTTCACCAACAGCTCTTGTCCTGGTTGGCTTTACCGTCCGCTTCCATTGGGTCAGGATGGCATTTCTAGCTCCATCCCACTTCCCTGGTCCCATCAATCGAAACTGATATGGACTACAAGGGCCAAAGTACACCTGCAGGGCTAGCTTGGGGTCAGTCAAGAAGAGCCAGGGTATGTTAGGCTTGGCTCCTATGAAGGAGCTCAGCTCATCCATGTATGTGATGTAATCTGTCTGCAGAGTGTGGCTCTGGCCAAACCTGAGGACAGAAAAACAAAATGATTGTCATAGTTGCAAACAGAGCTTTAACTTTATAATTTCTGTCTCTTGCACATCACACCTAGTCTGCTGATGTTAGATTCTTAGGCAGGTTTATTTGAAGTTTAGATTTTACACAGTTTCAGTGCAGTAAGATAAATTATGTCATACATTCAGATTGAGTGTGACCTTGTGTGACTTAAAGAACAGATTGTCACTGGTGATTGAACCTTTCTCCCCCTTCTTTTTATTTGCATTTACTTCTAAAGGAATTATTAGCACCAGGAGTGTTCACACCTGAGATCTTCCCTCTGACTTGGATGAGGCTAAGTGGGGACTGTGTCTCCATTTCTTTTCTCCTCTAGATCTTCGAGCTGATGTCTACCCCGGGAGAGTCACTGAATGTTATGTTGAAGGCTGGAAAGAAGAAATGAGCTTCCTACACAGTCATTTACTTATCCAGTAGTCATTTGTGGTTAATTATACTTTCAACTGATTTTGATAGGTAATTTAAAAGGAATTTTTAAATGAAATAATTAACCTGAAAAACTACATTACAATCTAGCCACATAAAGGCCTTTCTACTTGCTGTGCTTGAAAGCATGTATTGAATTGGAGGTGAATCCCTCTTTTCTTTCCAGAATATTCTCAGATAGTTAAACTGAACATAAGTTCTAATTCTGGTTTATCAATGCCAAATTTAGATTCTGCTGCTCAATTTCTAGCCAGCCAGTTTTCTTCCAGAGCAGGTGCTTTTGGGAAAAGACATAGGGTAATTTCTCAGCCTCATCTCTATGGACATTTGAACCAGACAATTCCATGGTTTCAATACTGTGCTTTGTGATACAGGATGGTTTCAGTGCCCAGGGGCTCTACTTATAGGAAGCTTGTGGCTTCCAATTCTACTTGCAGACCTCGGTTTCACCACATGTCCCCTGGAGGGCACAACCACTGTCTCTTAAGTTGACAGGAGAAGAAAGTGTCTCTCCACCTAATGTGGAACAGGTATAGCCAGAGTTAAAATATAATGAACAGTTGCTGCTGGCAACATTAATGACCTTATTGATGTTTTCAATGTATAAAGAAAAACAGAACTTATTGGATTAGCAAGTGTAATTGATTACCACTTGAGTTTCTTGCCCATTTTCTCATCGATGTCATCCATCATTTCATTTGTAGTTGGCAGGACACATGTGTCTGGAAAACGTGTGTAGAGAGAAACACCAAAAAAGACAATGGAATTAGTTTTGTATTACCACACCGAATGGAATTCATCATTTATGAAACAAATGCCTAAAAAGGTCTCTGAGTAGCTATCTTAATTTAGCTGTGTGAAGTTTTTATTTGTGAGTTCATTATATAAAAAAGTGATCTTATTTAATAAAATGTTTTGTCTTAAGAAAAACTCTCTTTGGTGTCATTAGACAAATGACAATTCACAAATACAGAGGCCTGAGAGAGGTAAGTGCATGTGTGGGGATGGAAAAGCTGGCCTGTGTGTAAGAATCACAGCAAAGATGTTTGTAGCCTTAAGTCACCCAACCCTTCATGATGTTTATGTAACATCACGAAGAGCCTGGTCCCCAGCATAGCTCTGCTGCACCTCATGCCATGGAATGCGGTATCCCTCAAGTAATGACCTGGAACAATAGTTGGTACTAAACTCCACGGCAAGTGATGAAGACAATGAGAGGAGGCAGTCACAGGATTGCAGTGTCAGCGTTCAGCTGGGTGGTTAATAAGGAATGGCAGAGAAGCTTTAGCTTGTTGTGCAAACATCATCACTTGGGACCGTCTGTAATCTACTTACTTCCGTAACAATGGAAGAAGGCTACTAAGATATTTGCAGTGCATGAACACTGCCTAGGCACCGTGAGCACCTGACTCTGTGTGTTAGCACCCTGTAGCTATTATCTGCTGTGTGCTTCACTAGCTGGAGAGGGACCAGATTGTTTTGTCTGCTTGATTTGGAGTTGTGACCTAAGAAAGTGATAAGGAGGCAGCTCTCTACATGCAACAGGTATTCTTTTTTTTTTCAATACAATGTCTTTATTAATTCTTTGAGAATTTCATACAACATCATTTGGTTAGGTGCTCCCCCAATTCCTTTCAGGTTTACCTGTCACCCCTAAAATTGTTCTCCCCTTTTTTTGTAGGTTTTTTTTTTTACAAGAAATACATCTTTAATGAAACCAGCATAAATTCACATGTTAACCATAAGAAATATATATTGACTAAAATTTTGGATGAGAAAAAACTATTTTTTAAAAAAAAAAGTTTCAGAAATATTTTGCTGAATAATTAGTAACTGTTTTCAGAAAGTAGGATTTTTTTTCAAAGAAGGTAGACAGTCATCATATGTATACAGGTGCACACATACACACACATACATATACATATTTGTATATATGTAAAGTACACACACATACACATATTTGTATATATGTAAAGTACACACACACACATATTTGTATATATGTAAAGTACACACACACATACACATATTTGTATATATGTAAAGTACACACACATACACATATTTGTATATATGTAAAGTACACACACACATACGTACACATATTTGTGTATGTATGTGTGTGTGTACTTTACATATATAGCTTTACTTATTTCTTTATAATTTCGGTTTTGTCATGAGTTATTAGAATTTATATTTATTTGAGAAAATTATTTTGATTCTTTCTTTTCCCTATGAAATAATCCAATAGGCAACACATTTTTCCATTCTAGGCATGGATGCACCAGAGGCAGTAATGGATCCATGGCTTTCGCTGTATATGTAAGGGTGGAGGGCCCTGCTGGGCATAGGTGGGAGAAGAGATCCTTGGTCTCATGGAGGCCGGATGCCCCAGGGGGTGGGAATTTGGGTGGGGGTGGGGGGGTAGGTAGGGGTACATCCGCAGAGAGGCAGGAGGAGGGGTGATGGGATAGGGGGTTCCTGGGTGGGTGGGGGGATGGAGTAAGGGGATAACATATGAAATGTAAATAAAACATCCAATAAAATGATTTATAAAAAAATAATTAAAAAAGATATATATAAACTTAACTTTTACTCAAACTTTGTTAGCAGAGGAAATAGTGTGATGTCAGGATATAGCTTAATTGAAAGTAGAGAAATAGTGATATCCATAAACTCTGAAATGCATGTTTTCTTACTGGTTGGCTGTAACATTTTATTCCCAGGAGATAATCAAGTGCCAACTATAAGTTGAAACTCCACTGGGTTCTTGACAAAGCACTTGAAGAAAACTCATTGAAGTAGAAAACAACAAGTAGACAATTACATGGGAAGCTAAGCAAACACCTGGTCCTAAAAGCATTTGATGGGTATATCCATTACTGCCTCCGGTGCAACAGGTATTCTATGAATGTTTGTCAAATGAATAACTGATGTCCTTTGTTTCATGTTAATATTCTAGGTTTTTGAACTGTATGCAACCTTCTCATAAAATTTTAGTCTCTGGGCACACTATCAGGCTTTAAGAATAAAAGACAATGGAAGCATTTTATAGGTGAGTATCCTTATTCAAGATTTGATGATGGAAAACTTCAACTTCAAAGTTCTTCATGACATATTTGAAACAGAAGTGTTTACATCTACAGTGGTTTTTTTTTTTTGAAGTTTAAACTCATTTTATGATTTAATTTTTTCCTCGTTTTTATATTTTCCTCATTATAAATTTTTGTCAGCAGTATGTTAGGGAAGTTACATTTATGTTGTTAATATTTTTAGGCATTGAATAAGAAGATACTTTCCATAATCATGATGGTCAATAGTATTAGAGCAATTGCATTAAATCAGTATATTTAAGTCACTGCCTCTCTCCATGGAATCTATATGTTCCCCACATAAAGTTCTTGTAGCCCCTTGAGACCATGTGGTCCACAGTAGAGAAAGGGAAGGGAAGAAGGCTTTCAACAGTGTAAGAAGCATATGAGGTTGACACAGAGGTAACACTAGCTCTCTAGCATGTCCCTAACCCTAACCCTGGCTTCAGTTGCCCTGCAGAATTTGTACCTTATCCCTGCAGTTACCCATCTGTATCCTTTATCTCACACAAAGCCTTGCACCCCCTCCCAAATTCATTGTCAAAAGATCAAGTTCTTTGATTCAGCTTATGATGCCTCACCAGGCATTTGTTTGTCTTCATTTTGTGCCACTCCCTGCCTTTTATTTTTAAAAAATGTTTCTGGTTCTTCATACATTCAGAGTGATTATTCATATTAGGACTTTATCTATGTTGTTGTTGTAGATGGAATGAATAAATCCCAGGGCAATTCTTCTCATTACAATACCCTGAAACTTCTCCTGCTGTAACATCTTCTACTCATTCCATTCCCATCTATGAGGTCAAGTCGCATGTCTGTCTTGTTCCCAATGGATCCCCAGTACAGTCATCAGCTTAGAGCAGGCAATTATTGCCTTAATGAATGAAACACAAAATGACCCACATACTTGTAAACACTTTAGCAGCCCAGCGTGCCTGGAGGTCAGCTGTAGGGATGGCAGCACCCAGAGACTGGACAAGGCCGATCACTGCCATGGTTGGTTTCTCTAGTTGAGGAGGGAAGATGCCTTTGTACAAGGTGACCTCATTATTTCTGCTTTTGATGATGGAGTCATCCAGGAAGGGGTAGGCATAGCCATAGCCTGTGGCGAAGATGACACAGTCAATGGCCTCAAACACGGTCCCATCCTCAAACACGGCAGAGGTCTCTGTGAACGTGGTCACGATGGGCTTGATGGATACAGTGCCACACAGGATGCGGGCTGGGAGCTCATCATTGAACACGGGCTCTTTCCTGAGCGGGCTGTGCAGATGTGAAAGACAAGCACCACAAGCATAATAGTCATTTCCATCAAATCCCCACAACATCCCATTCCATTGCACCTAGATTTGATCAATTAAGCACCAACACGAGGGCCCATACAGGCTCTTCTCAGGTGGAAATTACTTTCTTGTTTGTGAATATTTCTAAGAATTTATGTCTGAAATTTTCTTATTGCTCTTTGAAACTTAAAATTAGATTGCGTGTATTTATGCTCTCTGGAGACTCATCTAATAGATGAGAATATAAACCAATTCTAGATTAATGAACTAGTTAATAAGAAAGATTCTAAACCTAGACATCATAGGTTTATTTCTAGCTATATCTCTTACCTACTGGTGCTGCTCTACACTTGTTTCTCTCTGTGTATAAATGGGATGATGACAGAATCGTCCTTCCAGAGATACTATCACTGGATGACTAGCTACTAAAATAATAGCCAACACCTTCGAGAACATTGCATGTTAACTACTATTATACCTCAAAGGCCTTGCATGTCAAAATCAGATTGGTGATGATCTTACTAATCTTACCACCATGCCTGGGCTTCTTCTGCCAAGTTCTTTGTGTTCACACAAAAAGAAATCACCTTTGATATTGTACTTTCCAAAATTCTGGCAGTAAAAATTTTCATGAAATGTACTTCATGTTGACTTATGTTTCCTTTGGAGATAATGGAATTTTCTCTAAGTATCTCACATACATAAAAAACACTGATTTTTTTTGTATTTCTGTTTATATTGGTATTTATTTTTGTATTTCTATGCTGTTACTCTCCTCTGTAACTCTGTCCCCTCTCCCTTTGCCTTATAAGGTAGCTAACAAGTAGATTACAGCATACCTGTTTTTTCTCTTTCTTCTCTTCTTAACAAAGGGAGGAATGAAAAGGTGCCAGCTGCAATTTAGGGCCCTGGAACCCTTTCAAGGAGGGAGCTTAGTTCTGAGAAGGAGTGGTTTTCACAAGCAATTTTTTTTCTAAGTGGTAAAACCCCAGTATAATTTGTAGTTACTCTTGTAAGATAAAACCATTTTTGATTGGATCAAATTTTGGAACTTTTATTATGTTAAACAAAAGACTAAATATAAAACAACATTACTTTTTCTTGAGAGTCAGAGCAGTTCTTAAATCTGGGTAGGATAAGTGCTTTGGAAGGAGGCTCTAGCTCTTTAAACCTGGCATTTGGCATTCTGATTTACAGTTCCTCTTCACTTTTCCTTAGTATGTTTCTCTAAACAAACTGAATCTTTTTTTTGCTAGCATAAACCAGAAGGGAAAAAATCTCATTGTGAAACATTTCTTATCCACCAAATATTCAGCTGTACTGATTTTTCTATCTACAATGTTTCCCTAATATGGTGTATTGAGCGCTATCTGAAAAATAAGTAAATAAATGAATCATACTAATTTTACAGGTCACGTCAGTTCTAGTGAGCTCCATTGCTTTGCACATTCCCTGCCTCCTGATGACCTTTCAAAGTGTGCAGGACATGGGAGGGACTGGTCACTCTTGTTCTGAGTCTCCTACTTGCTGAGACACATTGACTGACAGTACTTTGGTAGACAGTCCTTAAAGGCACATTAGGTGATCTGAGACCAAGAAGAACACATAGTTTTAAGTCTTTATAATTTACAAAGTAAGTTATAAATGTACATTTATCTTTCTAAATGTTACTATCTTCAGAAGTAGATGCTGTTACTTGTATCCTCTCTTACCTATAAACATGACATATTTCAAAAAAATCCAGTTCCAGTTTGTTCAGTCCTTTAAGTTCTGGACAATAGGTTGCAGCTAAATGGGTTCTGCTTATCAGGACAATCAGTTTACCTAACCCACCCCTACTTAGCATATCTATGTATATTCCTCCACTAATCTCTAACCTGCACGTGATCTGTCATTTTAACTGTGCCACCTTCAAAATTCTTAATCCCACTAGATTCAATGAGATAACTAAAGGAAGAACAAGGTAGAAGTAAACAATCCAAACCAGTACGCTCCTAGATTGAATGGACAATACGCATTATTTATCATACCCATTTAAAGGCATCAGGCCATAGTTCTCATGCTTAAACCATGTGTTCATCTTCTTGACATATAACCAGTCAGAGACAAAAGAAGGAACGATATTCCGGAGGAAGGATGCGAATCGGGTAACATATACCATATCCCAAGGATACCCATCATTCCAAACCCGACTCATGATCCAGGAACCGCTTCTGGTGCTGATAATGACCTGGTGGAGAGAGGCAAGACAGATCTCAGCATTCTTCAGTGACAAACAAGTAAACATGACAGAGTTCTCTAGAGTCATATCTATATGTTCCCTTCAGTATCCACTTAGCAACACTTTCTAGGAAATGAGTCTAGATGAACATGCCACATTTACATCTAAGGGGAGGCGAGAGTCCTCTCTCACCACAGTCAGAAAGACTGATGTAGAACTGTTCAAAGAATTATAGGCACAACACCTGGTATAAGAAGCCTCTATAGCTAACAGTGATTGTTTAAATTTTTATGTGCTCAGAGAGTAAGATAGCCAGTTAGTTAGAGACTAGTCAACACAGTTAGCTCTAGTAGCTCTGGATGATGGAAGAGGTTGGACTGAGTTAGGGAAATGCAGCTAAATAGGTAGCTGGAATTAGATTGAGGGGATGCCACAGATTTAATGCTGTTTTCTGTCCCTTCTCCCCTTTTTTTAGTCTTCCCTGAACATGCGCACAGAACATCTCAAGCCATGGAAGCCATCTCAACATGCCAGGTCAATTGCTGGTTTATTTGCTATCTTTCTGATAACTTAGAGCTATTCTTGGTTATAAAAAATGTTCAACAACCAAAGCTTCCTTTATGTTTATTTAGGAGTTAGTTTACTTAGTATCTGCTTGCTTAAAAATATGCCAAGCTTCTTCAGGTTCTACTAGTCGCAGCAACTTGAGTCCTGTGGAAATTTTCCTTGACTTTGTTCAGGTTAAGTCGGGACTCAGTTCTTGGAGGTGTTGCTGCCACACCTAATTCTACTGGGAGACTCAGCACTTCCTTTGTAGATGGTTCCTGCACCTGTTGCCTCATCCCCACCCACTGATTGTTCATTAAGGTCACGATCTAGTCTAACCCATATCTGTAATTTTTGCTTAATGTAGATCTGACACACAATAGTGCCCGGCATTTTCTGAGTCCTTGCTTCTGAATGAGTGACTGAAGGAATGATGGAAAGAGCCAGATCATGTGGTGCTCCAGAGCTGGAGTGGTAAGTAAATCTCTTTTAGTGCTAAGTTGAGTCTTTCACTAGATAGGCAGGAAGAAACGCTGTTAAAAAAATAAAGACAGAGCCTAAGGACTGAAATGATTTGAAAGTTATTAGAATATAAAATTAGAATAAAAAATTAAATGTTTATGTACTCATTTCTACACACATTCAGACATTTTGCTTCCATTTTATCAGAGCAAACTTCTTCATAGCAAGAAGGACTCTGTCTTCCCTCTCCGGGTGAATGGCTCACTCATGATTGAAAGGTCTCATAAAACAGGTAATAATGCTTGGGAACCCAAGCCTTCAGTGCTGACCTAATTGCATATTTCTATCCTAGCTTTACCTCCTAAATCCTGTATGTTACATACCTGTGTAGCCAGACGACTGAGTTCAACAGCAATGTCAGATGCTGAGTTTCCCAGGCCAATCACAAGGACCTTCTTCCCCTGGAAGGCTTCAGGGCCTTTGTAATCCCGGCTGTGCAGGCATTTGCCTTGAAAGTGCTCTAGGCCTAAGTTAAGTTTCAAAAATTTGAACACTGAGTTTTCACACATTAAAAAAATTTCCATAATTGAAATGCACTTAACCACTTAGTGAGTGTTGCCAATAAACTCCCAAATAATTATTTCTGGGGATCTTAAAATTTTTAAAATGTTATGATTTCCATTTTAGTAATAAATAGCAACAACAGCAATAACAGCAATAATAGCAATAATAATAATGATAATAATAATAATAATTTATTAAGTACTACCTAAGGGCTATTGGATCTGCTAAATGCTTAGTCTGTTTTAACAATTTACTCACAATGACAAACTGCTATATCGGTTTTCCTTGTAAGAAAAGTGCTTACCTTGTAAGCATGGGGACCTACAATGATCCCAAGAACCCATGTTTTTAAAAAAAAGGAAAAAGAAATTGGGACAAAGAACTTAAGGACAATAAGGAGTTTGGCCTGGGCATATTGACTCATATATACACGGCCATAAAACATGCTGCTTATTAACATTTGAACCTATTCTTCATGGGCTACTACCACCTTTGGGAAAAAGGAAGGCAGAGAGAAAGAAGGAACGGATAGGGAGAGGAATGGAAGAAGAATGGAGCAAAGAAGAAAGGAAGGAAAAATGGAATAGAGGGCAGGAAGATTTTGTGTGTATTTATTTTCTTTGATTTTTGTCATTCTTGTATGGCAACTGTTATGGTTATGTTAGGTTTTTTTTTCTCTTCTCTTCTCCTCTTCCTCCTCCTCCTCCTCCTCCTCCTCTTCCTCTCCCTCCTCCTCTTCCTCCTCTTCCTCC